GAAGAAGAAGAAGAAGAAGAAGAAGAAGAAGAAGAAGAAGAAGAAGACGACTCATTCAGTTGGGTCCAACTCTTGGCGATTCTATGGGCAGGTGCCTCCACATCTTCCAATCTTCGATTACTTCTTTGAGTTGTTCTGTGCTCTGACTATGTCACCTTTGATGGTGTCTAACCACCATATTCTTTGATGTCTTTCTTTTCTCTTATCACTAAGTCTCCCAAACATAATTGCTTTCACCAGTGAATTCCATCACGTGACATGCCCAAAGTAAGTAAGATGCAGTGTCATGATTTTATGGGATACAAGGAGAGATTATCATTCCTCCAAAACTTACAAAATTCCAAAGAGGTCCTGCTCAGGCAAATTTGAGCAATTAGAAAACTCCAGTTATCAATTAGTAATCAGTTTTCTTTTTTCCCTACTGTCTTCATACATGAGAATTCAACACAATATTTCACATATTTGGAAAAGTTCCCTGTAATTACACTTGGGGCCTGACAAACCATTAATTGTAAAATTGCTTTTCAGCTTTCATGACCTACATTACATGACATACATTAATCAAAACAGAAAACAAAAGAAAAGGGAGAAAAATAATGGGTATAGACCAGAGCAAATAATTTGAACAGAGCTGAGTAAGTTCAGAGAGCTGAATAAGTTAAATTAATAACTGAGCTCCAGCTTAACGTGGAATTGATGATCATCATTTCACTGTGGATGGAAATAAATAATGCAAGATGAGGAAAGAAATAATAAATCCATATATTTTTCAACGTTTTTCTTTCTTATTTCAACCAAATGCGATAACCATTGCAGAGGAGAGGCAGGTATGGATTTTTACTAGCTTGAAAGTAGCTTAGGTTCTGCTTTTGCAAAAAGCTGCTAATATACCAATTCCCGCAATGACAGTGTTTGACGTTTGCAAGTCAAGCTCTCTTCTATTTTGTTCTGTCTAACTCTGTTGACCTCCCATTTCATATTGATTGTTTTGTGGTTAACTGCTCTGTTGGTTTATTTAGTCACTACTTCCCGCTTGTTTTCTTTTCACTCTTGTAAAAAAAATATGAAACTGATAATTCTGAATCATCACAAAACTTAAGAGAGACACAGAGAACATCTTTAGACATATATTCATTTTGACTGATCCCAGAGATTTGAGGCAGCTTGCTCCCTAACTTTGCAAAGCAGAATGACCACTTCACCTAAATGGCCACCACTGGAAGTCTGCTTCGGTGGTTGGATTCAAATTTTTTTACTACTGTTTCTGTGGGCATGGTTTGGTGGGCGTGGCTTGGCTTGGTGGGTGTGGCACAGGAAGGATACTGTAAAATCCCCATTCTCTCCCCACCCCTCTAACCTGCTTTCCAGCTCCGTTTTCCTGTGCAAAGCAACAAAAGACCCAGCCAATCAGTTGGGACTCGGGAGGCAGAGAATAGATGGGGGTGAGGCCAGTCAGAGGTGGTATTTGGCGGTTCTCCAAACTACTCAGAATTTCCACTACTGGTTCTCCAGAACTGGTCAGAACCTGCTGAATACCACCTCTGGCTCTGCTTGGCTTCAGCATTATTAGACTTCTGGAAGAAATTAAAAACAAGAGTTTTTCTGGAGGGCTTTGGGAACTGAAATCCTATTTGTTTTGGGGAAATTTAATGCCTCTATAAGAGGTTTTTCCTTAGGTTATTGCACTATTATCATGCTTTGTTGATTTATTGGGAGTCACTGAGAATCTGTGCAAGCTATACATGTAATTAATAAAGTCTTTTTTTTTTTTGAGTGACTATATCAGGATTTCTTAACCTTGGTGACTTTTAGACCCGTGGACCTCAACTTCCAGAATTCCCCAGCCAGCATGCATGTATTTTAATTTCATTTTTGGTCCATGACTTGACATTTAAACAAATAAAGTCATGAACAATGACCTTGTTGGCAAGGCTCACATATCTGGTTTGGAGTATGTGAAACTCTCAACCCAATCACTGTATACCCCTCTCCCATTTTTAGAGATGGTTAATTTTAACCCCGAAGAGTTCCAGGTTAGCTTGGGGCTAACCTAATTTCTCTGCCCTTCCCACTGTCAACTGTGCAGTGCAAACTATAGAACACACCTGTATTGGGATCCATCCTGAATTTTCTCTTGCTGATAGAATCAAGACTGCTGTGAAAGCTTCTGCTTTTCAACTCTGTCCATGGTTTTTACTTGAAGGTGTTGGGCATGATGTGCTCAAAAATCATTATATCATAGCTTGGGTTGGAAAATTCTGGACCATTATCATTGTTGTCCAAAACTTTGATTAATACCTTTTTTAAGTATCAAAAGGGAAAAAAAGAGACAAGAGAACAAGATGTATACATTTACCAACTCTTGTCAAAAGGACACACAGTTATCTGGAATACAGGACCTACATTCAGTTTCACAGCTACTAAGATTGTCGGCTGAGCAGGTACAAAAGTAGCCAGAGAAATGATTGAAGCCTGGAAAACGGGCCTCTTGTCAGTCAACAGGAGTGCTGAATTACCATCAGCCTATGAAATACGTAGGAGCCGAAGGCTTGGCAGCACAAGGAAATGGCAGCCAGTCGCCAGCCATCAACACACCAGTCAGCCTATAGGAAGACACCACATAAACACAACTCACAGAACAGCCCAAAGCCCATATTCTGGTAGAGAGAAATTCCCTGAAGATGGGGTCCAGCATGAGTTTGAAAGCTTGGAAGAATAAATATATCTGGTCCCGGTGACCAAACCAATTCGATCTTGGAAACTATACAGTTAACTGTTATTTCCTTATGCAAGTTCCAGAAAGACTTAAGCTTTATTTTATTTTAAGAGGGACATTGACAACTGTAAACTGTGAACGCTCCCTGTCCTGCCACTCCACATCTCCATTAATTTATTCCCTTCTTGCTTTTCCACAAAATAAAACCGATTAAACCTCCTAGGTGGGTACTTTTTTTTACTGGGATATTATTTCCACTCAGGGAAATCTACAAAGCAAGCCTACATTCCCTTAAAGAATAATAATTAAAATGTCATTTCACAGCTTATTGTAGTCTCCGAGTGGTTTGCTGTAATAACCTACCACCAAAATTAATAAAACATATTAAAATAACAGTTGAAAATTAAGTTTTAAGTCAACCTTAAAAGCTGTTTTGGGGGAAAGGTGTCTTTAAAACCCTTTTGAATGCTAGTGGAGGGACCAGTTTCATTCAGGGAGTGAATTCTAGAGAAAGGAATAAATATAGAAAAAGTTCAGCTATCTTAAGAAAGCGTTGAACTGTATTGGGCAGCAAACATTTGACTCATCCCTTGCCGCCTAATACATGGTACAAGTAATCCTCAACTTACAACCATTGGTTTAGTGAACATTCACAGTTACGACACTGAGAAAGGTAACTTATGACCATTTTTCACATGTGTGACTGTGGCAGCATCTCCAGGGTCATGTGATCAAAATTCAGACACTTGGCAACAGGCATGTATTTATGACAGTTGTAGTGATCACCTTTTGGGGCCTTCTGACAAGCAAAACCAGATTCACTTAACAACCGTGTTACTAACTTAACTGCAGTGATCCGCTTAGGAACTGTGGCAAGGAAGGTCGTAAAATGAGAACAACAACCTCAGATTGGAACCGTTAGGCTTTGAGTTCAGATTTCTCCACTTTGGGGGCTCAAAGCTTTCGTCTCAAATTCCAAACAGGACGTTTGAGGCGGTTCACTGTGTTTGTTCATATTTCAGTGGGTGTGGTGGCCTAGAGGTGGAGCTGTCGCCTGACAATCAGAAGACTGGGAGTTTGATCCTAGGTAGAGGCAGATATTTCTCTCTCTGGGCACAGTGAGAATATCTCTGCTGAAAAAAACTCCGCATTGGCAACAGGAAGGGCATTTGGCCAGTAAAACACTCAGCTCCATTCAGTTGCCCAGAATCCACCCCGCAAGGGATTATGGGGTCATTAAAAGAAAATGATGACTGTTTTGTTCGTATTTATTTGTATTCCATTTCTACTTTTTACTAGCTTTGTGTACTTCTAACTTTTTTTTTTGCTATTGTATCTCTTTCCTCTTCAGGTCACAGTAACGGATGGAGGGGTGTCTCCCAAGCAGTCCACGGTATGGCTGGTGGTCCAGGTTTTGGATGAAAACGATAACAAGCCTCAGTTCCCAGAGAAAGTCTATCAGGTCAAGTTGCCCGAAAGGGACCGAAAGAAGAGAGGGGAGCCCATATACCGAGCCTTTGCCTTCGACAAGGATGAAGGCCCCAACGCAGAGATTTCCTACAGCATTGTGGATGGAAACGAAGACGCCAAGTTCTTCATTGACCCCAAGACTGGAATGGTTTCTTCGCGAAAGCAGTTCACTGCGGGCAGCTATGATATCTTAACGGTAAGACTTCAGTGGTGGAATAAGCCCTTCTTTGATTTAAGAGCAGGTTTTACTGTTTTTAAGTGGCTTTAGCAAGAAATCTTCGACTTACGACTGGCCGCATAACAACAACAAATTACGATGGGCCTAGGACAAACATTTTACAGCCCATAAAGCATTTCTAGTCATCATCTTAAAATATCATGCCCCCCCTCACACACACACACACCACATATATATTATACAAACACACATACTTATATACAATCCTCAATTTACAACTGATCACTTAACATGAAATTAGGATGGGCCTAGAGCAAATGTTTTACAATCCGTAAAACACTTCTGACCATCTTAAAATATCATGCTTCACACACACACACACACACACAGTCCTCAACTTATGACAGGTCACTTAAACAACAACTAATGAGGATGGGCCTATAATGAATGTTTTACAGCCCATAAAGCACTTCTTAAAATGTGAGATCATATACCCACACACATGTACGTATATATTATACATACATACATATATTGCCTACATGTATATATTGTGTTCATTTCAATTGACACATCTTTCCAATTAGCTGGGCATTTCCTGGTTATGTGACTACAATTTGTGGGGTTTTCTTTATTTTATTTTTGTGGTCATCCAGCATTTTTTGTCAATTTTTGGCAAAAAAATCACCAATTCAGTAGAAGAGAGCTACATTAAGGAATATGGTATTTGTTTAACAACTACAGTATTTGCTTAATGACTAGGCGGATTCACGTAACCACTGCAAAAAAATATTGTATGATCAGATCAGGTCACATGGGTGCATTGACTTACAATCATAGTAACTTAGAACCAGAGATCCAGGCCTAATTGTGGTCGTAAGTTGAGGACTACCTGTAGTACATGTTTTCATTAGCAACAGTTTGCTTGTCTTGAACTTTCAAGATAAGAACTGGATTTTCAAGTAAGTTGAATGTAGGTAAAGGTAAAGGTTTCTCCTGTCCAGCCATGTCTGACTATGGGGTGGTGCTCCTCTCCATTTCTTAGCTGAGGGAGCCAGCATTGTCTGAAGACATTTCTGTGGCCATATGGCCAGCATGTCTATGTACTGAGGTGCACGGAACACTATTACCTTCCCACTGTAACGGTACCTATTTATCTACTCGCATTTGCATTCCTTTGAACTGCTAAATGGGCAGGATATAGAGCAAGGGACAGGAGCTCACCCCATCATGTCACACTCAGGTCTCAAACCTGGGCTATCAGCTTTCCATCTAACAAGCTCAGTATCTTTAAATTGCTCAGCCATCGCGCCCCTGATAGATTTTCAATTTTTAAAAAATATTTTTTTAAATTTTATATTTACAGTAATTCCATCTTTCATTTCAACCATGTGTCGACTGGGTACATATGTCTTGTGCTAACAATTATAATTAATACTTTTCTTACCAATATAACAATAATCTCATTTTCTTATAACTATTATTAATATATCTATTATTTTTAACAGTCTTAGCTTATTTCTCTGTATATTCATCTAATCCATTTTAATTTGCTTTATTTCCCAACCATTGATAAAATAAGGCCCATACCATGTAATATTCTGTTTCTTCTTTCTCTTTCATAACCAATGTTAACCTGTTCATCTCTGCACATTCAAATATTTTCTCAAATTATGTTTCCCTCTATCAGCATCTTATCATTTTTCCAGTTCTGAGCAAATAGTTCTGAATTCTAGATTTTTGACCTGAATTTTCAAGTAAGTTGGATTCAGGTATCTCCATTCAATTTGAACGTACCTTAAAACTCAGTATTGTCTCACTCTTACTGAATATGAAAAATAGTTGACTTGGCAAAATGGCCTATACATGAGAGATTAATTGGAATCCACCTTCTTCATTATTGGAAGGAATTCACAGGAACTTAATTGGATGGCAAGTGGTGAAGGATTTAAGTGGGCACAGGTGTTTGCTGGTGTGTCACGCAGGTCAACAGCATGCCTCCTCTAGTGCATCTGATTTAAAAGCCATAACATTGGTTGCATGGTGGCAGCAAATTACAGTCTAAGCAGGTGGCATTTCACAGCTCACTCTGTGCAGGCCTGTCAGACCGGAGGCCTATGGGCTGGATATGGGTTTGACACACCTGCTATAAAGATTCAACCTTTAATCGGGTTTTTGGTTTAACTCAGTCGTCCTGCTCTGCTTTATTCAGAATTATATTTGTTGTGACTTAGAAAGCTTGTTAAAAAGAATAGCAGTAGACCTATATCCCTCATCCATAGTGCTTTACAGCAGTGGCCCCCAACCTTTTTTGTGCCACGGCCCGGTACCGGCATCACAAAATGATCCGTGGCCCGGTACCGCCATCAGCATACATGGCAAAGCGAGCCGAGCAACCGGCCAGCCAGCCGTCCCCCGCTTCTCCCCGCCACCTTCAACTCCTCCTTTGTACCTTTGTCGATGGGCTTCAGGATGGCTTCGGGACGGTTGCTCGGCTCACCTTGCCTTGGGTGCTGAAAGAATCCTCGCGCCTTAGTTTTGTTCGAACCCGCCCCCCCCTTCGATGAAACTAAGGCGCGAGGATTCCTTCAGGACCCAAACGCCGCTTTCCAACCAGAAAAGCTCACCGGAAGCACTTTCTCATCAAAACAAGATGGCGGCGCCCAGCAAACTGGTGGCCCAGTAGAAAATGTTCCATGGACCGGTACCAGTCTGGGGCCCAGTGGTTGGGGACCCCTGCTTTACAGCACTCTCTGGGCAGTTTACATATTGACCCCAACAATCTGAGTCCTTGTTTTACCAACCTCAGAAGGATGGAAGGCTGAGTCAACCTTGAGCCGGTCATGATCGAACTCTTGGCTGTGAGCAGAGTTAGCCTGCAGTACTGCATTCTAACAACTGTGCCACCACAGCTCTCTTTAATGCATGTAATCCTTGACTTACAACCACAGTTGCCACTGGAACTTCCATCCCTAAGCAACGCTCTCATTAAGTGAATCATGCCTGATCTTAACCGCCTTTTTGCTATGATCATTAAATGAAACTGACTCCCAAGCACTTGAATTTGGATCCTATGACAGCAGGGACACTACAACAATCAAGTGCAAGGACCAAAGTCACTGTTGTCAGTGCTGTCATAACTTCAAATGGCCACTAAACAAGTGGTTGTAAGTTGAGGACTTCCTGACCAACAAAGAAAAAGAAAGCAAAGTTTGCACTTGCCGACTCTTTGACTTTGGTTGGGCCCAGTCTCAAGGTAACAACATGAATTGATTGGAAGGACAACATGTTCTTCAGAAGTCTTTTCTAGACATATACCCTTTCCCCCCTTTTAATAGGAAAATAACACAAACTAGTGATCTTTGATTAGATTTAAATACCAAGCACATCCATCAAAATGACTTGCCCTGGAAGCCCTGATTCTACACACTTTGGAACCTTGTCAACATTTGTCACTTCATTCTGGTCCTTGTTTCTTTGGAAAAAAAAAATTTTAAGGAGAAATTCCATATTCCCCGCCCCCCTTCACCACCCACTGGTCACCCCCCCACTACCTTAAATGTGTTCACCAAAAAAATAAAATGTCATAGCAAAATAACGGAATAATAGAGTTGGAAGGGACCTTAGAAGTCCTCTAATCCAACCCACTGCTCAGCCAGAAAACCCTATACCATTTCAGACAAATGGTTCCAGTCTCTTCTTTAAAAATCTCCAGTGTTGGAGCACCCGCAATTTCTGGAGGCAGGTTGTTCCACTGGTTATTTATTCCCATTGTCAGGAAATTTCTCCTTAGCTCTAGGTTGCCTTTCTCCTTGATTAGTTTCCATCCATTCCTTCTTTTTCCTGCCTCCAGGTGCTTTGGAGAATACCATGTTTCCCCCCAAATAAGACCCTGTCTTATATTTTTTGCCACCAAAAAAGGCACCAGGTCTTATTTTCAGGGGATGTCATCCACTGACTAACCTCACTAGTGCGCATTGGCCCTGGCCTCCTTTTCGCTGTCAGAGGCCTTCAGGAACTTCTTCTTCTACGGCCAGAAAGGCTTTCTTGAAGGCCTCTGCAACCGATAACAGAGCTCCGGATCAATCCGGAGCTTTGTAATCAGCTACAGAGGCCTTCAGGAAAGCCTTACCGGCTGCAGAAGAAATGCGCTGGCAAGGTAGGTGTCGGAGTGTGCAAGGCCTGGTTACAACTGTCCAAAGGTAAGTAGTACGGCAGCTCCACCCCATCCCCCACACTAACTTAATTTTTACCCATTCATTCTAAAGTGGGTGGGGTATTAATTAATTAGGGCTTATTTTGTGGGTAGGGCTTATTTTGGTCGCATGTGTAAAAAATCAAGCTAGGACTTACTTTCGGGGTAGGTCGTATTTTCAGGGAAACGGTAGGTTGACTGCCTCTTCTTTGTGATGGCCCCTTTAGATATTGAAGCACTACTGTCATGTCACCCCTAGTCTTGTTTGCAGTGTAATGTAGAAAAATCCCATTCATCGCAAGGTTATGGGAATTCAGAACCAGGGACCACTTTGAAAGCAAAACGGTGCTGAATGCTTTGCCAAGAAGTGTGCCGAAGTAGCCTCTCTGCCTTCCAATGTCTTAACAGATCAAAGCAGTTGACAACGGCCGGCCCCAGAAGTCTTCTACAGCACGCCTTCACATTGAATGGATTAAGAAACCACCTCCATCCCTCGTTCCTCTGACTTTCGATGAGCCCTTCTATAACTTCACCATCATGGAAAGCGACCGAGTGACTGAAATCGTCGGCGTGGTCTCCGTCCAACCTGCTAACATCCCCTTGTGGTTTGACATCGTTGGTACGTTGAACCCTGTAGGCGGTCTTGCCCAGAATGGAAAGTAGCACTGCATAGATTTTGGGTTAGAGAAAACTAACAAGGGATTGACTTGTCCGGCATTGAAACTGCTGTAATAGTGCTGTACTGAATGTGGCTAATTTTAATATAACTACCTTTTTCGCGCTTTGGTTTTTGATGCCTTAGCTAAGCTATATGGCTGGATTGTTTTGGTTTTTTCTCCCCCTCTCCTCTTCCATAATATGTGACCCAACTTGCGATCCTAATGTTGTCTGTCGTTTAAATTCTCTGGCCATAATTTGCTAATCTCATTTCTAAATGTATTTTGATGGCGACTTTAATCAGCTGTCCCTCATTTCTCTCTTTCTCTTTCTCTTTTTTCTCCCGGTGCTTTTTATTTTCTTTTGCATTCTGTTACCTTGGTTGTTTTTGTTGTTGTTGTTGTTTTTCTGCTTCCGACCGCTCTGCTTCAAGGTGGCAAGCATGCCCGAGAGATGTTCTATATCCTACAGACAGCTTGTGGGCAGAACTGCTCAACCGAAGGTACCTTCACTGGAAATACATTTGCTACTGCCTTTTATCAACTGCCTTTCTCGGTGATCGTTTTATTATCTTAACAAGAGATTCACGCTCCAGAAGATAGGCTTAAGATACAGGAAGGATCTTGGCAGACTTGAACATTGGGCGCTATTTACAGAAGTGGGATTAAACCGGTGTTACTATTGGTTCGGTGACTAGGTTTTGTGCACTACACGCGCGTGTAAAAAAAAATCGACTCTGCCGCCCGGACAGCTGAAAAGTGCTACGCAGATTTACGGAGTGTTTGAAAATCCTCTTTTTTCCTGTTTTTTCAACCTCAGCTATGCTGCGCATAGCAGCTGAGGTTGAAAAAGCAGGAAATAAAGGACAGGTAAGAGCCCGGGCGGGCAAAACAGCAGCAAACACAGAACCATTTCGTTGTCTGCTGCTCTTCAGAGCTACCGGTTCTATAGAACCGGGCAGAACCGGTAGCCTCCCACCCCTGGCTATCTAACAAAATGAGATTCAGTGGTGAAAAAAGTAAGGGTCTACATTTTAGGCAAGAAAAACCAACACGCAACGTAGGTGGTACTTCACTCAATAGTAATAACTGTGAGAGGGATCTTGAAGTCCTAGTGGACAATCATTTAAATATGAGCCAGCAGTCTGCTGCAGCTGCCAAAAAAAGCCAGCACAGTTCTAAAATTAACAGAAGGATAGAATCAGGATCACGTGAAGTGTTAATACCATTTTATAATAGTCTAGTAATGTAGTCTAAAGTTAATAACACAGTTGTCAAGTTAATCTGGCTTTCCTCACTGATTGGCTTGGGAGAAGGTTGCAGGTAATGCTAAGTGTCTGGCAACTGACTCATATTTACGAGGGAGGCTGGAATAGTCGCGTGACAAATGGTGGTAAGTCACTATTTTCGGCACCATTGTGACTTCAAACAGTCCCTAAACAAACTGTTGTAAGTCAAGGACTACCTGTACTTGGGCCTAATTTCAGTCTTCCTTTGTGATCTTCAGTGTTTTGTCCTCCAGATTAGCTTTCAGGTGATTTGGAATGGCCTTGCTAAATATCCAGAAACTGTCAATTTGGAAATACAATGTTATGTGCTCCACGTAGTGGTAGTCTTTGCAGTGTGCTCAGAAATGGCATATGATTCAAGGTGGACCAATTAGAACAGTTTCTCAACTTTAAGATGTGCTGACTTCAGTTCCCAGAATTCTACAGCTAGCCAGTGGAATTCTGGGAGTTGAAGTCCACATATCTTAAAGGTCGAAAAACACTGAATTTGAATGTTTACGTACTCCAGGCCTGTTGGATTACATCACAGCTCTTATGCGACTTGGTTCCCACTGCTGGCTTTGACTTAAAGCTCCAACTTGACCGTACTCCAAAAGCATTGGAACTGCAACCACAGGAGTTACATGCTGACTGGAAATTCAGGGAGTTGTCATTCCAAAATTGTTAGAAGATAACCAGTTGGAAAAACTGATCTTCTGGACTTGTATCAGTTCTGTGTGTTGAGGTCTGTTGATCTGGTTTGTGATTTAACAAGACAGGACCTTCTCTGTAGAAGCACCTACTCCTTAGAATTCCTCTCCAAAAGAGTTTGTCTTGCTTCTTCCTTACTACTTTGGAGTTGCAAAACAAAGGTAGAATTCTTCTGAACGGGGTTTATATTATTTTAGTTAGACTCCCTTCCAAGTTATTATTCCTCTTTACTGATAATCAGTGTACCTACAATGCTTAATTTGGAATGTTTTATGAGATGTAATTATTTTGGTATGTCTTGTTAGCCATCTTCGAATTAACTGGTTGATGGGCAATTTATATACACAAATCCTAAAGAGTTATATGTATCTGTCACCAGATTGTACTATAGGTAGAACTGAATTAAATTTTTATGTGAGCAGAATTCCTTTGGCTGCCTGGAATTCAGCTTAAATAAATTCTGTCAGCCCCAACCATCAAGACAGGTTCTTTTAATAGGCAAAATGAAAACCACAGGGGTGTTTTGTTTTTTTTAAAGATACAAAGAAGGAAAATTATGGGAGAGGAATCACATTGTATGCCAGATTGGCAGATGTGTTACCGATGATGGAGTCTATCCGTTGGAACGATTTGTACACCCATGAATCTTCCTTGGCTGCTGTGTGTCTCAGAAGCACTCAAATGCACTGAGAAGAGTAGCAGATAATTGCTAAATTGCCTTCTTTTGAATGGATGCAACATCCGAGAACCAAGCAGGAATATCTCAGCTTTCTATCTATTGAATGCAGAGCCAGTCAAGATGAGACAAGCGTGCCAGATCAGAGAACAGCAATCAGTAGCTTCTTATAAATCTTTCTTTCTTTTGCAATCCATTTGGTGGTGGGATTCTTTTGGACCGGTTCGGGTAAAGTTCACGCTCACCGAACCGGTTGTTATACCAGTTGAATCGCACCACTGAGTCCATCTCTACATGAACCATAACTCAGGAGCAGAGCATCTTCAGTGTAGAAGATCCGAGATTGAATATTTGCTCCTATACGTTTTACTGAAGTTTACTTCTAGCATCTTTCACCGCTTGGTTATATTGATCATGGATGCTAAGAGGTTTAGGTTTAACAATTCTGTTTTGCACGCGGGGGCGCATGGATTCCCCCATCCTGATTTTTATGTTTCCAGCTGCCAAAAAAAACAGCACAGTCCTAGACTGCATAAACAGAAGGATAGGATCTAGATCACATGAAGTGTTAATACCACTTCATAATACCTTGGTAAGGCCACACTTGGAATACTGCATCCAGTTTTCATCACCACGATGTAAAAAAGATGTTGAGACTCTGGAAAGAGTGCAAAGAAGAGCAACAAAGGATTGGGAGCTAAAACATATAAAGAACCATTGCTGAAATTGGATATGTCAAGTTTGATGTAAAGAAGGACTAGGGGAGACAGGATAGCAATGTTCCAATATCTCAGGGGCTGCCACAAAGAAGAGGGAGCCAAGCTATTCTCCAGAGTACCTGAATGCAGGACAAGAAGCAATGGGTGGAAATTAACCAAGGAGAGAAGCAACCTAAAACTAAGGAGAAATTTCCTGACAGTTAGAACAATTAATCAGTGGAACAACTTGCCTCCAGAAGTTGTGGATGCTCCAACACCGGCAGTTTTTAAGAAGAGATTGGACACCGATTTGTCTGAAATGGTATAGTGTTTCCTGCCGGGCAGGGGGTTGGACTAGAAGACCTCCAAGGTCCCTTCCAACTCTGTTATTCTATTCTATTCAGCTTTAGATCCCAAACAAGGTCATCAGACATTTTCCAGGAGTCAATATGAGTCATGTTTTAAAACAGCCTCACCATTTTAAGTAATGACTTAGTCAGCTTCACCGGCTATTGATAAGTGCCTGGGAATGATTCATTTGGATCTGTAAAGCTCGGTCAGCACTTCTGGTCAGGTTACTCAGTGTGCACCAGGTCTTTCCTCAACAGCAGACATGTCTACATTGACCAGTTTCTGCAACTGCCTTGATGCACAACTCGGAAACAACTATTTCACCCTATTGTTAAGGGCGTATCAACATTTGCCTAGCAATTTCTCAAAAGTTTTTATCTGAGAAACAGGATTCCATTTTTCTAACATTCTCAGGAAGCTTGAGATAGATAGGGAGAGAGAGAGAAAGGCAGAGATGTAAGGGAAGAGAAAGGGAGAGATATAGGGGAAGAGAAAGAGAGAGAAAGGGAGATGTGTAAGGGAAGAGGAAGAGAAAGAAAGGGAGATGTGTAGAGAAAGAGAGAAAAAGGGAGATGTGTAGCGGAAGAAAAAGAGAGGGAAAGGGAGATGTGTAGTGAAAGAAAGAGAGGGAGGGAGATGTGTGGGGAAAGAGAGGGAGGGGAATGTGTAGGAAAAGAAAGAGAGGAAGGGAGATATGTAAGGGAAGAGAGAGAATAAGATAGAGAAATTTGTCTTTTAAAATTTATCTTGGTGATTTTTTTCAAGCTGAGATTGTTGGAAGTAGCAGATAATATGGTCCTGTTTCCTCCTGCATATCACTCGTGAGTTCCTCCCATTGTCCAGTCTAGGGAAAAAAAGAAAGAAACAGAAAGATTTGATGGAAGGAAGGCTTTCAAAGTGAGAAATGATTTCACCGTGGACATCAGTCTGTTCATACACGCAAACACATGTGCACGCATATACATGCACACAGAGACAAAGAGAGCTTTTTAAATTCAGTAAGTATAAGAATACCACATTAGTCTCATGGGAATATCTCAGTGGTTCTCTCTTCCTTTAAAGGAAATATTGAAGGCAAATTCTCTTTCAACAAATTGAGTGAGAAATTGCAGAATTTTAAAAAAACAGGATTCACATACACACACACACCCTTGACAGTACTAATAGTTCATACTGTGCAAACCTCATACATCAGCCTCTTCTGGAGAGAACAAGCCGCAGAGTGTTTCCCTGGCATGTTTTCAGTTTGCTTATGGCAC